TGTTTGAATGTATGATCTTAATGGTCGATTACAGACAAGAAGAAGAAGATAAATATTATATTATAATTTATAATATATATGTACATGCAAATGTATTTTATGTTTGAAATGAAAATATAATTAAAAGTTTATAAAAATTATAATATATATACAACACCAAACTGAAAAACCAAAAATGAATATTAATATACACAAAATTGTATAATAAATAAGGTATAGGATTTGTTTTTTCTCGAAGATTGAATATACTTCCAAAATGATTTGATATTAATAATAATATCATCTTCAATTGTTAGTATATAGTGAATTTGTTGATATATAATTGCTTATATTTTTTTTRTAAATTAGAAAATGTAAATACTTAATTTTGCTGTAGATTTGAAATTTTATACTTTTTATGTGCAAGTATTTTTTTTTTTTTAATTGGATTTCTTAAGTCATAATTAGACCATGGCAAAGAATAGTTAAAAGATTTAATTTTGTTTTGGGAAAAATAAAGAGAAAATATAAATTTAAGATATTATTAAAAATTTAAGATAGGTAGCATTTTCAATACCTAMATTTCTTAGATTATACTGAATTTCAATATTTTCTAAAAATGCAATAATTTCCTTTAAGTTACGGGAGTTACAATTGAATAATTCTGAATTGTTGGACTCATGTAAAATTTTGAAAGTATAATCTACATTTCTATAATTTTACAGTAGAAAAGCTTATTAAAAAAACACAAAAGTCTATGGAACAATCAGATGTTGACGGAGATAAAAATATGATTGAAGAAGTTAATATATCCCTATTTGATATGCCTATAGAATATTCTCTTGGACATTGCATAGCAAAAGATATGTGTATGAGTGCGGGCATCGCCATAGATTTTAAGTTAATGAACAAACATTTAAAACATGAAATATCAACAGTAATTTTTATTTTTAGCTAATCTGTTGATTAATTATAATTATGATTTAGGAGGATCTTCGGAAGAATTGGTGAACTGATGGACCAAAAACCAAACGTTGGCACAGTAGCTTATTTGCAACACAAAAATCAATTCATATATTATTTAATTACAAAAGAATATAGTAACAGTAAACCAACATACAATAGTTTAACTGCTGCCATTAACAAACTACGGGATTTAATTGTAAAACATGGTGTTACAAAATTAGCTATCCCACGTATTGGTTGTGGTCTAGACAACTTGGACTGGTCAATAATAAGAGGCATCATTCATAATATTTTTCAAAATGTAGGATGTACAATCAAAATTTGTCATTTTACACATGTAAGTTTAATTCAGCCTTATTAGCATGCAATTTTATGAAATAAAGTAAACTAATGTTTTATTTTTTTACAGTATATGTCAAAAGAATCAGAACTACTTAGAATTCCACATCCAAGTATTGTTAAAGTAAAGCAAAATATCAAAGATATTCAAAAGCGAGAAAATGAAAAATT